TAGGCTGACCCGGGTTGCCCTGCCCCGCCTGTCCAGGTGCTGAAGACCGTGGTCAAAAACCGGGATAAGGGGCGTAGCAACCACAGTGCCTTCCTCTTCGGCTTTGGGGACGGGGGCGGGGGCCCCACCCAGACCATGGTGGACCGCCTGAAGCGGCTGCACGATACGGACGGGCTGCCCAGGTCCGCCCTGGCCCTCCAGCAGCCCTCGGACCTCACTGTGCCCTGGCCTGCAGCCCTGCTCTCCGCTCAAACATTCGGTCCAGCTCCCCCGCCGGACCTTGCCCCACTCCAGTCCGGCACCATTGGCTCTTCCCAGCTTCCACCCTGGGGGCGGGGCGGGGGGGAAAGCTGCCTGTGGGAAGGGGCTTAAATCTACTGGAGACAGAACTCTCCCAGTGTGTCCGGGACTGGCTTTGCGTGGACAGGGAGCATTCTGGAGGGGGGCGGGGTGCTCCTTTCTGTCGGGGCTGGATCTCTCGTCCACTCTGGCATGGAGGAAGGGTGGGCCACACGGTACCCCCAAGGCTGGGCGACCCAGGCTGTGGTCTCCCTCAGGGTGCAGCTGTCTTCTCCGGGGCGACTCTTCTCCGCACTGGAGAGTGGCTCAGGGCAGCTGTGCACGTGGGTTGGGGAGCTCTTCCTGGAGCTACACAATGGCACCTACACCACGCATGCCCAGGTCAGGAGCTGCTCCCTGAGCCCAGCAGGGAGTGTGTGCCCTGGCTCTGCGGGGGCCAGAGTTCAGTCCAGACCTAGGGGGGAGAGGCTTGTGTTCCGGGGCGGCACCAAGAGGAGAGAAGTACCAGAGCCGGGCGGCCTGGGGGCCTGGAGGAGGCAGGGCTGAGTGTCCCTGAAGAAGGCGGGCCGCGGGCTGAGGGGGGGGCAGGTCAGCCACCAGAGGCTTTATCTGGGAGGCCCTGGGGAGCCTTAGGGGTTCTGAGCATGGGAGGGCTTTGGAAGGTGGCCTGGGACTGATCCCACCAACCCCCCAACCCTGCTCAGATCAAGAAGGGGAACCGGGAGTGTGAGCGGATCCTGCACGACGTGGAGCTGCTCAGCAGCCTGGCCGTGGCCCGCAGCGCCCAGTTCCTGTACCCGGCAGCCCAGCTGCAGCACCTCTGGAGGTCAGGCCGGCTTCTGCCTGCACCCCCCCACCCCGAACCCGCCCCGAGCTCACCACGGACAGCTTCCCCATCCCCACCCTTGGCTCCCGCAGGCTCCTGCTCCTGAACCAGTTCCATGACGTGGTGACCGGAAGCTGCATCCAGCTGGTGGCAGAGGAGGCCATGTGCCACTACGAAGGTGAGGTTGATGACCTGTGTGCCGCTGTCGCCGACGCCTGGGGCGGAGCCCAGAGTGTGTCCTGTGGGATACTCGGGGCCCATCCCAAACCCACCGCCCACCCATGAGCAGCCGGTCTCCCCGCAGATATCCGTTTGCACGGCAACACGCTGCTCAGTGCCGCAGCTGCAGCCCTGTGCGCCGGGGAGCCGGGGCCCGAGGGCCTCCTCATCGTCAACACGCTGCCTTGGAAGCGCACTGAAGTGTTGGCCCTGCCCAGGCCTGGTGGGGCCCATAGCCTAGGTAGGAGCTGGGGGGAAAGGCTGCTGCTGCAGTAGGAGGGACCAAGGCCAGACCCGGGGTGGGGACACTGCCTCGGGGCTCACTGCCCCGGGAGGCCCCAGGCTGGAGGGGAGGAGGAGGAGGATCCACCCACCCCTCAAGCAAGGCTCTTGGAGGGTCAGGGAGGCTGCACTGATGCCCAGGCTTCATCCCCAGCCCTGGTGACAGTGCCCAGCATGGGCTATGCTCCTGCTGCTGCCCCCACCTCACTGCAGCCCCTGCAGACCCAGCAACCTGTGTTCGTGGTGCAGGAGGTGAGTGTGGGCACGTGCTGCTGGGCGGGGCCCCTCCTGGGCCATCCCTGACAACGTGGGGATTCTGAGCTCCCCAGCTGGAGCAAGTGGTGAGGTGGGGCTGGGCTGGGGGTGCTGTTGGTGGTGGGAAGTCCCCACAGACTCAGCTTCAAGGACCCCTCCCGCCAAGACCGACGGTTCTGTGACTCTGGACAACGGCATCATCCGGGTGAGGCTGGACCCAACCGGCTGCCTGACGTCCCTGGTGCTGGTTGCCTCTGGCAGGTGCCAACTCCTCATTGCCCTCTTCCAGTACCTGGCAGGTGGATCCCAGACCCCCTTCCCTCTGTCCCCTGGCCCCAGTACTGCCCATGGCAGCCCACCTGTGGCTCTGGACCCACACAGGGCAGGGCAGGCTGGGCTAGGAAGGAGTCCCCTTGTCCCCTGGGCCTACTCTCCCTGCCCCCACCCCAACTCAGGGTCATAAAGTTCTAAAGCACCAATCTCTGCATCCTTCCAGGGAGGCCATTGCTGAGGGCACCGTGGGGAACCAGTTTGTGCTGTTCGATGATGTCCCTCTGTACTGGGACGCATGGGACGTCATGGACTACCATTTGGAGACACGGTTCGGTGTGGGCAGGACCGGGGTGGTGGTGGGCCCCCTCCATCAGCTTGCCCTGGCTCAGCTCCGCCACCCCATCCCACAGGAAGCCAGTGTTGGGCCAGGCAGGGACCTTGGCAGTGGGCACTGAGGGTGGCCTGCGGGGCAGCGCCTGGTTCCTGCTGCAGATCAGCCCCAACAGTCGGCTCAGCCAGGAGGTCGTGCTGGACGTTGGCTGCCCCTATGTCCGCTTCCACACCGAGGTAGCAGAAAGCAGGGTGGTGGGCATCTATCCCCGGGTGTGGCTGGGGAGGAGGGAGCGGCCCAGGCCTGTGTGTGTCTGTCCTTCCACCTCAGGTGCACTGGCATGAGGCCCACAAGTTCCTGAAGGTGGAGTTCCCCGCCCGCGTGCGGAGCCCCCAGGCCACCTATGAGGTCCAGTTCGGGCATCTGCAGCGGCCCACACACCACAACACCTCTTGGGACTGGGCTCGATTTGAGGTCTGACATGGGGTGGGGTGGGGTTTGGATCCTGCCCGGCTGGGAAGAGACTGGTGTGGGGTGGGGTCAGGAGGAGGACGCTGATCAATATTTGCTGGCTCCTGTGTGCTAGGCCTTGTGCTAAATGCTGTCTTTGGTTTTTGACACTCATGCCCATTTGGTGGGGGTGAATTCTATTATCCCCATTTCACAGATGAGGAACTGAGGCCTAGACAGGTTGGATGGTGTGCCCAGCGCCTCCTGTGGTGAGAGCTGGAGCTCCATCTGCGGTCCCAGAGCTGGCCCTCACTGTGGCGACGGGAGCTCGGGAGCCCAGGGAGGGGGCGGGGTCACCAAGCGGCTCTGGGATCTGCCCCCCAGGTGTGGGCCCACCGCTGGATGGACCTGTCAGAGCACGGCTTTGGGCTGGCTCTGCTCAACGACTGCAAGTACGGCGCGTCGGTCCGAGGCAACGTCCTCAGCCTCTCGCTGTGAGTGGAGGGCCCGCCAGGCCCCGGGGGAGGGGGGTGCTGGCATGGGGGCGCGGGTCCTCTGGGGCCGGAACCTCCGCAGTTCCAGCCCGGCCCATCCCCACCCTCCCCACCCCAGCTTGCGGGCACCAAAGGCCCCCGACGCCACTGCCGACATGGGACGCCACGAGTTCACCTACGCGCTGATGCCGCACAAAGGTGGGTGCTGCGGCCCGGACCGCCTCTCTGCCCTGCTCTGAGCCTCAGTTTCTCCCAGCGGCCCGTGGGCAAAACGCCAGCACGCCCACGGCCCCCCCCCCCCTCATTTCCAGGCTCCTTCCAGGACGCTGGCGTTATCCGCGCTGCCTACAGCCTCAACTTCCCCCTGTTGGCACTGCCTGCCCCGGGCCCGGCGCCCGCCGCCTCCTGGAGCGCCTTCTCCGTGTCCTCGCCCGCGGTCGTGCTGGAGACTGTCA